TCTGTCTCTCATGAATAAATAAATAAAATCTAAAAAAAAAAAAACAACTTTCTCTTAAGAAAACTATGACTCGGCGCCTGGGTGGCTCAGTTGGTTAAACAACTGCCTTCGGCTCAGGTCGTGATCCTGGAGTCCCGGGATCGAGTCCCATGTCGGGCTCCCTGCTCAATGGGGAGTCTGCTTCTCCCTCTGACCCTCTTCCCTCTCGTGCTCTCTGTCTCTCATTCTCTCTTTCTCAAATAAATAAATAAAATCTTAAAAAAAAAAAGAAAACTATGACTCCAGAAACGGAATCAAGTATGCATTTGTAAACAAACTGAAGCAGTTAACTTTTCTCTCTACATCCTCTGAAATTCAAAAGGTCTCTCTGAATAGTCTTTCTTCCATGGCAATTATAGTCATTTGCACAAGTTCAATAAGAATCTGTTCTTCTTGTAACAGGACACCATTAGAAACATTGGTTATTTTGCCAAGGCTTTGACAGGAATGTCATATTTGAGAAAGACATGTATAATTTCAGATATGACCAGACAGCTTAAGGAACTGAAGTTGACTTTATGAAACGTGGAGCCATAAAGCCCCTTGGAAGTGTTGGCCTGATACCCTGCTTCTAAAGTTTCCAGCAGCCTCCCCAGGGTGAGTAAAGAATGTCGCTTCCTGGCAGGTGCAGGAAACTCAGGATACTTTGGGGGCCTCGTGAAGAGGAATTCACCCAAATCTACTGGTATTGCAGGCATGTCTGATGGTAAGTGCTTGGCGTGGCTTCTGGCCTGGTGAGGCTACTAAGAGTTCAACCTAGAGACTCCTTGTAAAAACTTCCAGCAAAGCAAATTTTAGAAGATCTATACGGCCGGGTGATGGGCATTAGGAGGGCACGTGTTGTGATGAGCACTGGGTGTTATACGCAACTAATGAATCATTGAACACTACATCAAAAACTAATGATGTACTATATGGTGGCTAACTGAACATAAAAAAAAAAAAAAGATCTGTATGGCCAAGTGCTATTCTTGCTGAGCTTATCTAAATAATTAAAACAAGTTTGTTAAAGTTGGACTTGTTTTGCAAACAAATTAGTCTTGATTTGGCTAAATCTAAAAATGAGGGTTATTATAGAGAGAAATTATGTTTCAATAACCCACCTTTGTGGATGTTAAATCCTAGTCTGGTTGTCTTTAAAAGTTGTTTGCCTTCAGGGAAATCCAAATCAAAACCTCAATGAGATACCACCTCACACCCGTCAGAATGGCTAAAATTAGCAAGTCAGGAAACGACAGATGTTGGCGGGGATGTGGAGAAGGGGCAACCCTCCTACACTGTCAGTGGGAATGCAAGCTGGTGCAGCCACTCTGGAAAACAGTATGGAGGTTCCTCAAACAGTTGAAAATAGAGCTACCCTACGATCCAGCAGTTGCACTACTGGGTATTTACCACAAAGATACAAATGTAGGGATCCGAAGGGGTACGTGCACCCCAGTGTTTATAGCAGCAATGTCCCCAATAGCCAGACTGTGGAAAGAGCCAAGATGTCCATCGACAGATGAATGGATAAAGAAGCTGTGGTATATATACACAATGGAATATTATGCAGCCACCAAAAGGAATGAGATCTTGCCATTTGCAACGACGTGGGTGGAACTGGAGGGTGTTATGCTGAGTGAAATAAGTCAATCAGAGAGAGACATGTATCATATGACCTCACTGATATGAGGAATTCTTGATCTCAGGAAACACACTGAGGGTTGCTGGAGTGGTGGGGGGGTGGGAGGGATGGGGTGGCTGGGTGATAGACATTGGGGAGGGTATGTGCTATGGTGAGTGCTGTGAATTGTACAAGACTGTTGAATCACGGATCTGTACTTCTGAAACAAATAATGCAATATATGTTAAGAAAAAAAAAAGAAGATAGTAGGAGGGGAAGAATGAAGGGGAGTAAGTCGGAGGGGGAGACGAACCATGAGAGACGATGGACTCTGAGAAACAAACTGAGGGTTCTAGAGGGGAGGTGGGGGTGGGGGGATGGGTTAGCCTGGTGATGGGTATTAAAGAGGGCACGTTCTGCGTGGAGCACTGGGTGTTATGCACAAACAATGAATCATGCAACACTACATCAAAAACTAATGATGTATGGTGATTAACATAACAATAAAGAATACCCAAAAAAAGGTGTTTGCCTAAGCTAGACAACTTGAGGTAAACTTCAGAGTAATTGACACAATAGCTTTGGCTGCCTTTTTGGTGGGTCTCCAGGGACTTACGCTAGGACTACACATAAAATAAGCAAAACAGTATGTTTATGCAGCAGGACTCTAAATGATACTTCCCGGGTGCTAGATGCACTTAACCAAAAATTGTGAGGTCAGAGAGGGACTTCTCAAAAACCAGGCCAATGTTGATTATCTACTATGACTACACCATTTAGGATGTGAGGAGTTTCTTCATATGTGTTGTTTTAACATTACACTTAACTCCTGGGGCGCCTGGGTGGCTCAGTTGGTTAAACCGCTGCCTTCAGCTCAGGTCATGATCCCAGGGTCCTGGGATCGAGCCCCACATCAGGCTCCCTGCTCATGCAGGAAGCCTGCTTCTCCCTCTGCCTGCCGCTCCCCCTGCTTGTGCTCTCTCCCTCTCTCTCTCTGTGTGTCAAATAAATAAAATCCTTAAAAACAAAACAAAACATTACACTTAACTCTTACAAGGAGTCCCTATTAATAGGGGACATTCGTCATCAATTACATAAGATCAAGATATCCACTGGTCTGTTTAATGGAATTGGTAACTGGGGATCTTATTAAGAGATGTGATCACAATTTTGAGCTTGATTTTCTTTTGCATGTGCTGATGCATGTATTGCCTGCTGTCCATCACGACTCCCCGAAACCATACCACGGGCCTCTAGACCAAACCCTGGTTAGATTCTTTTTTTTTTTTTTAAAGATTTAATTTATTTGAGAGCGAGAATGAGAGAGAGAGCATGAGCAGGGGGAGGGTCCGAGGGAGAAGCAGACTCCACGCCGAGCAGGGAGCCCGATGCGGGACTCGAGCCCGGGGCTCCGGGATCATGACCTGAGCCGAAGGCAGTCGCTCAACCGACTGAGCCACCCAGGCGCCCAAACCCTGGATAGATACTAACTGCCATACAGCATGCTGCCCCATTGCAGCAGGAAGCAGCCAAAGTGGTCATCGTCCTCGTTCCCTAATGGCATTGAAGGATTCTATTCCAGAGGGAGGAATGAGTAAAGAAAGGGTTAAGGGATAGGCAAAGAAGGTAGGGGGCCCCTGGCTGGGCTCTGAAGCTCTTCCTGGCAAGCAGAAGTGCTAAGACAGAGTGAACAAGAGATAAGGGAATAGACCAGACCACCTGGCCCCAGATGTTAGGGAGTAATTTTCTTTGGCGGCTACAGCGTGGTCACAGAAAATGACCAGACATCAAGGAAGTCCGTCACTACGGGTGTTATCAATAGTCCTTGCTCAAACCAAGACAGCACAAGAATCTCAAGGCCACAAGCTGCCTTGTCAAGTTTACAATATAAGACTGGCCCAAAGGCCCTCAGTGGCAACCCATTTGGGACCTCTCTCACTCTAGAGAGCTTTTTCTGTCCTTTCTGCTCTCACCTTCACTTAATAAACTTTCACTTCATTCACCCTTTTATGTGGGCGAGATTCATTCTTCCACTCTGGGAGACAAAAACCCTGCAATCCTACATTACTATTGTAATGAACCTGGCCCTTATAAGATGGTGAACTTAATCAATACATGTTGTGTGTGTTCTGACCCCTCCACTGGCCTGCCTGTCCCCATCTCTCTCTCCTCAGGCCTCCCTCATCCCTGAGACAACATTGTCAAAACTGGGCTCATTAATACCCCCACTCAGTGTTCAAGCCAAAGGAAGAGTCACACATTTCCCAGTTTAAATCAAAAGCTAGAAATGATGATGCTTAGTGAGGAAGGCATGTTGAGAGTGGAGACAGGCCAAAAGCTGGGCCTCTTGTGCCAGTTGGCCAAGTTGTGAATGCAATGGAAAGTTCTAGAAGGAAATGAAAAGTGCTATTCCAGTGAACACAGGGATGAGAAGAAAGACAAACAGCCTTATTGCTGATGCGGAGAAAGTTTAAGGGTCTGGATGGAAGGATCAAAGCAGCCACAACATTCCCTTGAGCCAAAGCCTCATCCAGAGCAAGCCCCTGACTCTCCTCAATTCTCTGAAGGCTGAGAGAGGTATGGGAACTGCAGAGGACAAGTCGGAAGCTAGCAGAGGTTGGTTCGTGACGTTTAAGGAACGAAGTCATCTCTCTAACTTAAAAGTTGCAAGGTGGTGTGTGCAAAATGAAGCTCTTCTTCCTTCTCATTTTCTGTGTTTCTTCTCCAGTTTTTTTGACCCACTGCAAATTCTTCTGTGGATTCCAGATTCTTCCCAGAGCTGTTTCCGTTTGTGGATAGCTGTGTAATTGTTGATCTTCATCAGGGGAACGGAGGCTGGGGTCTCCTCTACCACCATGTTGGTGATATCACTTCTCCGATCTAGGATTTATTTCAATATCTCTTGTGTTTGCACACAGAGGGTTATATATAAAATAAAATAACTCCGATTTATTTATTTTTTATTTTTTTTATTTATTTATTTGATAGAGAGAGCGAGAGAGCACAAGCAGGGGGAACAGTAGAGGGAGAGGGAGAAGCAGGTTCCCCGCCAAGCAGGGAGCCCGATGCGGGGCTCGATCCCAGGACCCTGGGATCACGACCTGAGCCGAAGGCAGACGCTTAACCATCTGAGCCACCCAGGCGCCCCCGATTTATTTATTTTTTAAAGATTTTGTTTATTTATTTGACAGAGAGAGACACAGCGAGAGAGGGAACACAAGCAGGGGGAGTGGGAGAGGGAGAAGCAGGCTTCCAGGCGCCCCTGTTATATCCTTATTTAAAAGTCAGAAAACTGATATTTAACTAAGAGAGTGAAGCCACAATTTTTTTTTTTTAAAGATTTTATTTATTCACTTGTGAGAGAGACAGAGAAAGAACAAGCAGGGGGAGAGGCAAGGGAGCGGGAGAAGCAGACTCCCTGCCGAGCAAGGAGCCCGATGTGGGACTCGATCCCAGGACCCTGGGATCACGACCCGAGCCGAAGGCAGACACCCAACCATCCGAGCCACCCAGGCGCCCGTGAAGCCACAATTTTGACACGAGTGTAAGTTCTAAGAATCCATAGGCTGGCACTGTCATTTCTTGTCTCTTTAGTCTCCAAAGAGATACTGCTTTAGGGGAAGTATAATTCATCTGGTGTTGTGCAACTTTATAAAAGTTCCTCCTGTTTAGGACTGGTGAAGGATAACCGAAGAATAGGGAACTTCTTACACCCCCTACGTTACCAGTACGCAATATCGTTATGCAAGTTACATATGAGTCTGTCGTGAGTCTTAGCAGGTATTACATATATATGTGATGAACATGAGGGGTTGAGAATCAAATGAAGCATGCCTCCCGAGATGAGATCACTGTTTGCTGAGTGGAGACAGAGAAATAGTTAACACTGTGAAATAAGTGGATCCCAGGGCGGACATCAGAGAATGCCTCTCGTAAGATGGAACATCCAATTTGTGTTACTTTCCCTGCCTCACAGTGAAGAGACCGTCCCACCATCAAGTTCCTCACACATAATCAAATTACAACTCCCTTGTGTTTTCCCAGGCCGCGTGGGTGCTGCTGCATTGGAAGCACAGAGGAACGGTCCCCAGAGCCCAATTACATGTCAGGAGCAAGGCGGAAGTTCACCTGCTTTGCTGACACCAGATGTTATCAAGGGGGTTATAGGTAAGGGACACTATATGCAGTGGGGAAAAGTGGACAATTTTGGATTTTGTCCCTCTGTCTCATAGAGATCCATGAAAATCAAAGACATTTGGATTATTTTGTGTAAAAATCAGCATATTTCTTCTTTCTTTTTCGTCATTATAACTTTTTATTTTGAGATAGTTTAAGACTCATGAGAAGTAGCAAAAACAGTACAAAAGGAGCAAAAATGTACGCTCAACCCAGCTTCCCCTAATGATAATATCTTTTATAATAGTGGTCATTGTCAAAACCAGGAAATTGACCATGATCCAGGACTATTAACTCAGATACAGACTTTGTTTCAAGGTAATATTTGACAAGCTGGGAAATATTGCTGCTGAACGCAAGAATTCCTCGGTTGCTTTGCCCATCCACCCCTTCTCAAAGAACCACTTTATTTGGTTGAACCAGGCAATGCCAGATACCCCAGTACCAGTCTCTAGTCAGCTGGACAGTTGCAGATGATTCAGGTCAGGGTTATCAACGGGATTTTTGCCATGAGAGACATATTTCATATCCAGAGTGTCTAATATGGAAACCATTGGCCATTTGTGGTGTTGGGGCACTTGCAATATGGCTAGTTCAAGTGAGAATCTGATTTTCAAATTTAATTACTTAAAATTTAGGTTGATTTTTTATTTTTTCAAAAGGTGTTATTTATTTGGCAGAGAGAGAGAACGGCAGGGAGAACGGCAGGCAGAGGGAGAAGCAGGCTCCCCACTGAGCAAGGAGCCTGATGGGGGACTTGATCCCAGGGCTCTGGGATCATAACCAGAGCTGAATGCAGATGCTTAACCAACTGAGCCAACCAGGTGTCCCAAAATTTAAGTTTAAATTGGCGCACGGGGCTACTGGCTCTCATGTTAGAAAGTACAGATACCGGCCCAAAGGACACTCCTAACCCCAATCTTGATCCCAGCCAGCCAAGCGAGACCAGAGACCAGCTCTCAAGTGTGAAGAAGAAATCACCCAGCGTAGGGCTTTTCTATTCCGTATCTGGATGAGGATCCCCAGTAGAAGAAGAAAATAAGCCTGATGTCTGTTGTTTCCTTCCCTCTTAGCATCCTCATGTGTCCCTCACCATGTGGAGCCAGGAGCCTGAAGCAGAGAAATAGTACTACATGAGTTTTTATAGCACATATAAAACCTCACTGATGTCCTAGAATTTCAATCACAGTAGGATCCCATTCTCTTGGGCACCAGTGATGGGTAAGGGGGAAGATACGCTAGGAATCTTCTCTTCTCTCAAAAATTCTCACCAAGGTCACTTAGGTCAACAGCCCATCATGAGGGTGCCTGGGTGGCTCAGTCGGTTAAGCGACTGCCTTCGGCTCAGGTCATGATCCTGGAGTCCCGGGATCGAGTCCCGCATCGGGCTCCCTGCTCAGCGGGGAGCCTGCTTCTCCCTCTGGCCCTCCCCCCTCTCGTGTGCTCTCTCTCTCTCTCTCTCTCTCTCAAAATAAATAAATAAATCTTAAAAAAAAATTTCTTAAAAAAAAAAAAAACACCAAAAACAGCCCATCATGAAATAAAACCTTACAGAAAGTACTAGGTGTTGAGAATCCACTCAGTTCTGCTTCCCCAGGATGGAAAGATTAATGTTGAGCGGGACGTAGAGACACAGTTAAATCCATTATAATGAGGAGTGAGATGGAGTTACGGGGGCTTGAGAGAAGATTTCCCTAAAGACAAAGCATGGGGTCTAGGGCTTTTAATTAACATAAAGTCATGCTGCAGAGATTGTCCTGCCACCAGGCCTCCATGCTGTATTCATAACACAACTTGCCTTCTGTTTTCCAGTGAAGTTGGTGATAAATCTGTATACAGAAGAATTAGGATGTTGGACAAGGACTTCCAGCTTTGTCCTTCCTCAGAATGTGAAAAAGAGAGAACAGTAGAGCCAGCACCGTACATCCCTGCTGCTGGACCTCAATCCTGTGAGGAAGCATTTTCCAGGTAAGGGGAGTGATTACACGGGGAATGTTTTTTTTTTAAAGATTTTATTTATTTATTTGACAGAGGGAGACACAGCGAGAGAGGGAACACGAGCAGGGGGAGTGGGAGAGGGAGAAGCAGGCTTCCCGCCGAGCAGGGAGCCCGATGCGGGGCTCGATCCCAGGACCCTGGGACCATGACCTGAGCCGAAGGCAGATGCTTAATGACTGAGCCACCCAGGCGCCCCTACACGGGGAATGTTGATGGTAGTATTGGATTCTGTTCCTTGATATCACAGGGGCACATGAGAATCGGGATTTGGGTCACTTATACAGGAATCGGGGAGAATGAATTATTTATCCAGTCTTACCAACAAACCAGAAATTTCTGAATGAGGCCAATCACCTCTTCCTTCAAAAGTCTTGAGAGCTCGGGCGCCTGGGTGGCTCAGGTCATGATCCCTGGGTCCTGGGATCGAGTCCTGCGTCGGGCTCCCTGCTCCTTGGGACCCTGCTTCTCCCTCTGCCTAGCTCTCTCATGAATAAATAAATAAAATCTTAAAAAAAAAAAAGAAGTCTTGAGAGCTCTACACAAAAAGGCAGTAACTGATGCAAAGACCATTGATTGAGCTGGGCATCAATGCAAGTAACCAACTCAGTGCTCTGGGAAACAGCCTGCTCTTGAAGCTGAAGGATGGAGTGGGGTCCCTGAAGTGGTGTGCTAGAAATTGTTCAGCATCAGTTCCCCACAGGAAGGTGGGGGAAAGACTTTATTTGTAGTGTTTGCCAATTTCTGTGGGGTGACTACTTCCATCATCGTGGATTGCAAACTACCAAGATGATGTCCCTGGGCATGGCTAGGTGCCTGGCTGGGTGAGTCAGTGGAGCATGAGACTCGTGATCTTGGGACCCTGAGTTTAAGCCCGACTTGGGTGTAGAGATTACAAAAAAATAAATAACTAAACTTTTTGTTTTGTTTTGTTTTTTTGTTTTTTAAGATTTTATTTATTTATTCATGAGAGACAGAGAGAGAGAGAGAGAAACAGAGAGAGAGAGAGAGAGAGAGGCAGAGGGAGAAGCAGACTCCCAGGGAGCAGGGAGCCCGATGCGGGACTCGATCCCAAGACCCTGGGATCATGACCTGAGCTGAAGGCAGACGCTTAACCACCTGAGCCACCCAGGCACCCTAAATAACTAAACTTAAAAACAAAAGAGCACAGAATATAGTAAGATGTAGTAAAAGAATTAGAAAGTAATAAGTTTTCAACATTTATTACTTTTGTTTGTAAAATAGGTCTATTTAAATGAAAATTTTATAGAATTTAATTTTATGTTGACAATGTTAACATGTTTAACAATCTATGCACTAAATTCCTGGAGAATGTAACAATCGAATTCCATGATCTGGGGTGAGCTGGCTCCCGCTTACCAGTGGCTTCCTTCCACCTCCTAAATCCCAACCGCAGCCACCCGTTGGAACCCAGCGTGCACAAGCACCATGAGAGAACAGAAGGTGGTGTATTTACCCTCAGCGCATTGCATGGGGCTGACATAATCCATGGCTGATTTTGTGGCCCCAGACACAGCACCAAGACTTAGGAGCGCAGGTCAAGGTTCTCTCACATGACTTGCCCAAAACCCTTTTGAGAAAAGAGCTACAGATTCTTTTTAACTCCATTTCTCCAAATACTTGTTCTTTATAGCCTTAGTCTATCTATCAGTTTCTCTGTGAATCCCTTTCATGGTGAAGTGAATAGAGATATCAAGGAATATATAAGGAATCCGGGGATCAAGGATTACACGTATAGAGCAAGAAATCAAGAGAATCTAAGAAAATGTCAGTGAAATTAGATGACATTTCATGATCCCACAGCATCAATCATGCAATAACTACTGTACCCAAAGAAATCAGTGCTTTGGTCCTCTGTCATCATAGCCCCTTTTCTAGGACTCTTGCTGTATGATTCCCCTGGTCTTGATTCGTTCCACATTTCCAACTCTCCAAGACAGAGATTGGATTGAGTTGGTTGTCCTCACCCAGAAAATATCACCTGGGTTAGGGCAGATTTCTCACAACCAGGCGCTTACTTCGTGAACCACTAGCTCACCCTATAGATCACAATTATCAACTTTGGCTAAATACTGGAATCATTTGGGAAGCTTTAAAAGTAATGATGCTGAGGTCCCACTTCTAGCCCCCTGATTAAATTGATCTGGGCTGTGACCCATGTATTGGGGAAAGCTTCCCAGGTGCAGTCAAGTTCGGGGAACACTGCTATGGGAGCTTGTATTCCACCCACGAGTCAACTGGTAATTCAGTGTTTTTATTCCAACAGTCATAGGACACCAATCAGAGTCATTTATCTGTTTATTTATGTATTTATTTTTCAATTTATTTATTTTTACCAAATGACCCCAAATGTTTATTTGACTAAATTCTGTTTCATGCATAAGCATGTCAGCCTCCCCTGTTTATTAGACTTTGGCAGTTAAAAAAAAAAGAAAAAAACAAGCAGCCTCATCCAGAAAAGTGCAAATACCAAGGGTGAGGGTAGTCTACAGTTTTACTGTAGGATAAATATACATTTTTTTTTTTTTAAAGGCCTCTCTCCTTCTGGCCATATCAGCACTTGGTTTTGACCATTAAATATATATGAATTTTCCAAAAATCACTTCTCTGCTTCTCCAAGATCCTCAATGCCGTCATCATCCACCTCTGTTCATTTTTCCTGAATGACCTCCAATATGTCATCTGTAAAATCTCCCTGAATGATGATTTCATCTCCTGTTACTGAGGCACCATGGGAGAATTTTTGAGAAAAAAAAAAAACAACAACTCTTTCTTTTTAAAAAATTTTTTTCTTTTGGATTTTATTTATTTATTTGAGAGAGAGAGAGAGAGAGAGAGAGAATCTCAGGCAGACTCGGAGGTGAGTGTGGAGTCTGACACAGGGCTCCATCTCACAGCCCTGAGATCATGACCTTAGCCAAAATCAAGAGTCAGATGCTCAACAGACTGAGCTACCCAGGTTTAATTGAAAGTTTATTTATTTATTTTTTAAAACAGATTTTATTTATTTATTTATTTATTTATTTATTTGAGAGAGAGAGAGAGAGCACGAGCCGGGAGGAAGGAGCCAAGGGACAGGGAGAAGCAGACTCCTCTGCTGAGCAGGGAGGCCGATGCGGGGCTCAATCCCAGGACCCTGAGACCATGACCTGAGCTGAAGGCAGATACAACCGACTGAGCCACACCCAGGGCCTCTAATTCAAAGTTTAAATGGCCCTTTTGGCTACAGCCGTTGTTTGGGCAAAACAGCTCTAGCTTTTAATCACATCCTCTTCATTTTATTGTGTGAACTGATTTCTTTTTTTTTTCTTTTAAGATTTTATTTTTAAGTAATCTCTACCCCCAACATGGGGCTCAAACTCACGACTCTAATATCAACAGCCACATGCTCTTGAGCCAGTCAGGCACGCCTTGTTAACTGATTTCTAATATTTTCTTTTTTTTTGACACTAAAGGGCCCCAGTCAGAAGTGAATCAGACCAGGAGTCTTCACAGACACAAGAATCAGGTAATTGGCTAATGTAGAGTTTATGCAGGGGGTGTGTCAATGGGCTGATGGAAATGTCCTTTTGTTTTACATGGAGGAGAAGTTTTGAAGTCCTTTGTGATGTTGACGATCAAAAGCAATTTTTTTATAAAGCTTTTTAAAAAAGATTTTATTTATTCATTTGACACAGAGAGAGAGAACATGAGAGGGGGGATCGGCAGGCAGAGGGAGAGGGAGAAGCAGACTCCCCACTGAGCAGGGAGTCTGATGTGGGGCTCCATCCCAGGACCCTGGGATCGTGATCTGAGCTGAAGGCAGCCGCTTAACTGACTGAGCCACCCAGGTGCTCCCAAAGCAATTTTTCTTATCTCTAACCCCATCCTCCCTACAACTTAAATGGGAATACAAAGCACTTGCAATCTTGGATATTATGCCTGGAATGGATTCCATATTCCAAACCCTCTCTTGGTGATATTAAACACATTCTCTTTTTATTATCCGTGGAAGCTCTATGAGTGGATGGTGTAGACTCTATTGCAAAGACAAATAAAAGCAAACTCAGAGGTAAGAAATCTTCCAGGTAGGAGGGGAGCTGTGGCAGCACTGGATTGTGTTTGGGTTAATTAAAAGGAGTCTGTTTTCTTTTAACCTAATCCATGCTAGGACCTCGAAAAATAAGCAATGTGTGGTTAAGGGTCTTGATCTTTTGTGACATTTGCACTCTGATTGCTTTGGGTTAGGAGACATTCCTGTTGTATTGAGTCTCCTAGGGCTGCCATAACAAAATGCCCCAGACTAGGGCACTTCAACAATAGAAGTTCATTTTCTCATCGTTCTGGAGGCTGGAAGTCTCAGATCAAGGTGCTGGCAGATCTGGTCTCTGGTGAAGGCTCTCTTCCTGGCTTGTAGATGGCCACCTTCTCCCTGGGTCCTCACATGGCTTTTCCTCTGTGTATCCAGAGAGAGAGAGAGAGAGAGACAGACAGACAGAAAGATCTGTCCTCTCTTCCTCTTCATATAAGGACACCGGGACACCAGTCCTATTGGATTAAGAGTTCTTTCTTATGACTTCATTTCACCTTTAGGACTTTCTTATAGGCTCCATCTTCAAATTGAGCATGTACACGCCCCAATAATCACTGTGTTGCCTTGGAAAAATTCACCTGACTTGACTATCTTCCATCTTGTCATTACATGCTCCACCTCCAAGTGCTCATGGTTGGAAACTGTCCCACTTGGTGTGAAGTAGTTTGAAAGCCACGTGAGGTTCAAGGAGAGCAGGTGTTGGTGTTGGCCGTCTCCTGATACTCTCAGCCCAGCTCCTGTGCTTACCAGCCACGTGGTGATGGGGTAGACTCATCTGTATTCACATAATGAATAGCTGACATCGTGTGCCATTTTCTTGAGGTACCACACGGCCAGGTACCAAGATTCAGAGCAGTTCTTTAAGGTGTAGGTAACATTAGTCTCTCCATCTTACACAGGAGAAAAAAAGCTCTGAGTGGTTAGGTAACTGTGTGAGAGCATTCATTTTTTCCTATACAAAATCCCTGTTCTCTGCAAAATGAGATTCCATCATATGTAAATCTTGATAAACCAATTTTCTCAAAGCACAGTATATCAGAGACTTCTATCATCCAGGATACAGATATTTATTCTATGCAAATCATCCTTGCCCAGAGCCTGAATAGTGGGGGTAGAGTCCAGCAGCCCATGCGTGGAGGGTCTCCAAGTGGTGCTGGGCAGGCTCTCCCAGCGGGGTGATGGAAACACTCGGGGAACCAGGGGATGGTCCAGGGTGCCTTGGGATGGATGGTGGCGAACACTAGGATGAACAGATGTGCCTTTGCCTCTTCAGCTTTCCTGCTTGTTCCTTTTATGGACTTGCCTTCCTTCTCCAGCATCAGGTATTAGCTGCTTCTTGGGACCATGTAGAAATTTAGTTGCTGTGGTTCCTGCCGGAGGCAATACCGCACCGCCGCCCCCCAAGCCATCCAGCCTGGCTCCCTTTTTAAATTTGGGGTGCAGTTTCAGTAGAGCAAAGAACATTCTTGTGCCTTTCTTTGTCTGGAGTCAAAGAACGAAGCCCCTTGTTCTCCCCACATACCCTTCTCTCTGATGTCTGGATTCCCAACGGGACATGTGTAATCCAACATCCAGGGCTCCTTCAGGTCATGCCATGTCTAACAGTCTGCATCTCACACAGGCAATGTGTATTTTTCAGAAGAGATTTGCTTGGAAGAGAAGACACTAGTGCCCCTCCAGGCTCCTAAACTTTTTTCTGGGGTTGAACCAGCTTGTAAAAGTAATCAGTTTCTAGGACCTGAAGGAAATGTGGATATTGAGTTGATTGATAAGAACGCAAACAGATACAGGTAAGAATCAAAGATGCTGATTGTTTCAATATAATTCTCCTGTAAAGGAAGGATACGCTGCGTGATATTTACACGTATACACCTACACGATAGGGTATGTGATCCATCCCCTAAGACATCTGAAATTTTGTCAATAGCCTCTGTATTCTACGCACTGAGTTGGTATGTTAATTTCAACATATGTAGAATACAGAGAAATTGGGGCTCAGAGAGTTTAATTAAATCCCTAGAGTTTTCTAATGTAGTGAAAGTCACAGATGGGTCTTGAACCTTGCTCCACCCCAAACTCCACATCCCTCTGCACTTTTTTTTTTTTAAGATTTTATTTATTTGACACAGAGAGAGAGACACAGCGAGAGAGGGAATACAAGCTGGGGGAGTGGAGGAGGGAGAAGCAGGCTTCCCGCGGAGCAGGGAGCCCGATGTGGGGCTCAATCCCAGGACCCTGGGATCATGACCTGAGCCGAAGGCAGACGCTTAATGGTTGAGCCACCTGGGCGCCCCTTCCCTCTGCACTTTTGTTCTTTAAATCAAAGTCCTGGTTTTCTCTCAGCATGACTATCACTCTGGCTCCTTTCAGCGTCCACTTCCCCACGGCTGGCTTCTATCTATGGCCAGCGACACACCTTGGCTTCTCGGTAACAGCAGCGGTGACCGTGAGGATTGTGTTCGATTCTTGGGGTCAGCATCTGGACCTGAAGTTACAGCACGAGGAGCAGTGGATGGTGGCAGGCCCTTTGTCTGAGGTCTCCGTGGAGCCCGAGGGGGTCATTACTGAAATCCACCTCCCCCACATCATCTCCCTCCCAGGTAAGGAGGGGAGAGGGGAGGCCATGGGGATGTTGGAGGAACACTGTCTGATTGCCTTTGTGGTTGTCCTACAGCAAATGAGGTCGGTATCTCTTGGTTCCAAGTTGCCCATTTTAAGGATGAGGGGATGGTCCTAGAGCCGCCAGCCCGAGTGAAGCCTTTCTGTGCAGTCCTGGAAAACCCCAGCTTCTCTCTGATGGGGATCCTGCTGAGAGTCGCCAGTGGGACCAGTGTTTCCGTCCCCATCACTTCCACGGTCCTGATCTATTATCACTTCCACCCTGAAGATTCTAAATTTCACTTGTACCTTATCCCCAGCGACTCCTTGCTAATGAAGGTAAGGCTGGCAGATTTTGGGGAAGATAGGAGAATTACATTGTCAGCCTATCACCTTCGACATTCTGTTTCCATATTGAACAGAAAAGTCAAGGCACGGCTTTCATTGATAGAAGCATGAATCACCCTCCATGAGTTCAGTCTGTAGGTGCTGACTCCTGAGCCATATGCAAGGATCTGCAACAGGAATTCAGTTCTACTAAAAATGGAGCTGCCTTTTCTGGCTTTTAAGGAGGAGGAAAACAGAGGACGAGACTTACGGGGAATGGCAGAAGGAGTAATGCAGAGATTTCATTGTAGATTTGAAATTAATAATATCTAGGGGCGCCTGGGTGGCTCAGTTGGTTGGGCGACTGCCTTCGGCTCGGGTCACGGTCCTGGAGTCCCGGGATCGAGTCCCGCGTCGGGCTCCCTGCTCGGCGGGGAGTCTGCTTCTCCCTCGGACCCTCCCCCCTCTCATGCTCGCTCTCAAACAAATAAATAAAATCTTCAACATCTCCACTGGATGATTCCTCCCTGACGTCTGACAGCATGTTGTGCTGTTGGCCTCACCCTTCCTTGATGACAGTCCTCTCTGTTATTCCTTCACATCCCATTTCCCCGATCTCCCAGTTAACCATTCTGCTCCCTCTTCCAAGTCTTCACTTCTGCAGGTGCTTGCTCTGAAACCCCTCATCTCCCAAACTCACTGATGGTCTTAGTGACCGTTCTCAGTCCTGTCACCAAATCCCACTTAAGGAGAGGATTCCCAAGTCTGTATCCCTGTCCTGGACCCTGCAGAGCTCCAACTGTGAACTGCCCGGCTGAGTGCGCCCACTCGACTGCCCATCAGCATACCTACCTCATGTGTTAACCTCCTTATCTTCCCCAAAACTGCCCTGCTCTTTCAACTCTCTTCTCCATGGAGGATATAAAACCAAGTTCCACTAAGTGATTTGGTCCCAGATCTAGAGTCTATCTTCCATCTCTCGGTTTCACTGCCTTTCCTCATCCAACGTACGCTCCATCTCCATGAGTTTTACTTTCGTAATAGTCTATGAAATCTTTTGGAGCTTGCAATCTACAGAGCAACAGACAGTAAATAAGTAAGGAGACGCTCAAGTCCAGCTCTCTTTGCTTTTAGAGTTTACTTTCATAATGTGACTCGAACCAGTTTCATTTCCTCTTTGCCACTGCCAGTGATGGACCCAGCCTCCGCTGACTTCCGCTGGAAATACGACTCAGGCCTTCAGACTTCTCCCACCAGTTCCATTTTTGTACATGTAGCTTCCACTTTTTATCTGGCGACAGGGAGATCTTTTACAAACATAAATAATCACACCTCTTCTTGGCCAAGACTCTTCCATGAATCCTTATTACACTTGGGACATAAACCAAGTCATCTCCTTTGCCCATGGCAGCATTTGGCTCTAGTACCATCATCGCACCCTCTTCTTTCCCTCCATTGGCCTCATAAATCTCTTTATTTGCTTATTGTCTGTATTTTTGTTGATTGTAAACTCTGTACGTGGGAGGGACCACTTCCTCTTAATCACAAGTTAGTTAAAAGCACAGTATAAGGCCTGTTGTAGTCACACATGAAATGTTGTTGACAGAAGGAATGAAATGTGGTCTGTCTTCCTCTCTTGGGAGGGGAAGAAGAGTGGAGAAACCTTTTCTTCACTTGAAAACACAAGAGAAGCTCAAAATATCGCTTGTTGCCCTGAGAATTTTCCCTGCTTATGTGGTGAGCTGCACAATGCAATACGGTAGCCAGTTGCTATGCCTGGCTGTTGAGTCCTTCAGGTTAGAGGTGTAATAACTTTTTTTTAAATAAACAAAGATTTTGAAGATATAATATGATGAAAGTATATACATGTTAATTATATTGATTACATATTTAAAGGATAATATGTGGGGTAATATGAAATACTTCATAAATATATTAGTAATAGTACTTTCATCTGCTTCTTTTTGCTTTTTTTTTTTTTTTTTAATGCGGCCACTAGAAAATTTGAAATTATACTTGGGGCTTGCGTTACATTTCTGCTCAACAGTGCAGCTCCGTGGAAATCCATTGATCCAATAAAAAATATTTATTCTGTGCTTTACCTATTCCAAGCACTATTTTAGTGGCTGGGGATGCATCAGTGGACAAAACAGACAAAGGCAGGACTACCAAAGGTTGTTTGGAAGATGGAAATGCTTGTGGTACAGGAAAAATATATGTGATCTGACACGTGCGATAAAAAATAAGAAAGGGAAAGGGAATCAGTTTCAATCCATAAGACAAGCTAAGTACAGGAGTCTGTCCCACTATCTGTAGAAATCTGCTCTCAGCAATAACCTATCATTGTTATACTGATGTATTCGGTTGTTTAAGTTCCAGTCTCTTATTATTATAATTTCAGTTAAATATATCTCCTCATTTAAAATAATTTTTAAAGATTTTTTTATTTTTTATTTTTTTATTATTTTTTAAGGATTTTATTTATTTATTTGACAGAGAGAGACACAGCGAGAGAGGGAACACAAGCAGGGGGAGTTGGGGAGGGAGAAGCAGACTCCCCGCCGAGCAGGGAACCCGATGAGGGACTCCAGGATCATGACCCGAGCCGAAGGCAGTCGCCTAACCAACTGAGCCACCCGGGAGCCCTTGTCCCCAGATTTGAGGCACACTCAGACAATCCCCGCCACATTATATGAAGAAAAATCATACTATACAGAGATTTGTGATAAAAAGAAATGCCTTGGGGGATGCCCAGGTGGCTCGGTTGGTTAGGCGTCTGACCTTTGATGTCGGCTCAGGTCATGATCTCAGGGTCTTGAGATGGAGTCCAGAGTTGGGCTCTCTGCTGAGCGTGGAGCCTGCTTAAGATTCTCTTTGAGTCTCCCTCTGCCCCTCCCCCATCTCTCTACCTCTAAGAAGAAAAAAAAAAAAAGAAAAGAAAGAGAAAGAAATCCCTAGCTCCGAGATAACCACCAGTAAAATTTTATCAACACATCCCTCTATGGGGCGCCTGGCTGGCTCAGTCGGAGGAGCATGCAACTGTGGACCTCAGGGTTGTGCGTTTGAGCCCCACACTGGGTACAGAGATTACTTAAAAATAAAATATAAAAAAAATACATCCCCTCATGTCCAGAGGCCTATTGATATATATAAACATATATATATTTGTATATATATGTGTGTATATATATATATATATTTTTTTTTTTTGCTTATTTACTTTTAGCTATGCCTCCTGATTCGCTTTTCTTTCTCCTCAGGCAATAGATGATGAAGAAGCTAAGTTTCATGGTGTGCGTCTGCAGACCTCACCCCCAGTGGATCCCCTGAATTTTGGTTCCCGTTACATTGTGTCCAGTTCACCTCACCTGGAAATAATGCCCAAGGTCAGTAGAATTTGACCTTGGGCATTATTTAACTCGGGTTTCAAAATATTTTGTATACATGAAAAAAAATGGAAGACCAGTGGAAGGTCAGTAGCTCAGGTGATTGTTCTCTGAACCATATCCTGATAAGAGCTGGGCTATCTTTCCTTCCATGGAATAATACTATTTCCTAAAATTGTAAACTTAAAAGATTGTTGACCATTCTACCTCTGTTTTTCCCTCATCCAGCCGTGAGACTATATAGGAAATGGAGTATATTTCAGTGGCCAGTTCACTGCAGGCAACAGGTCTTTTCACCCCACTCCCAACCTCCTGATACTTTATGGCATGTTTCCTCTAGGAGTTGAAATTATCCTACAGGAGTCCTGGAGAAATCCAGGTATTCTCTAAAGTCTATGCTGGGAAGATGGAGGAACCAATTGTACTTAAAATTACGAACAAAAGACACAAGACTTTGGTCTGGCACACTTGGGTGAAGCCAGGTAGGTAAAAATATGAGGCTAAAGTTTGGGGAGGAAGAAAAAAAATCATGTACCTCTCCCCTTGGTTGTAGTGAAGTATATCAGAGGAGAAGGTCTGTTTATGGTCCCATCCCAGAGAAGAAAACAAATCTACTGCCAGTTTATAGTCAATGTTGAGTTGAAGCAAAAGCACTGGCAGTGGTCATGTGTGCCTGGGGTAGGGATGGCTCTTGGTGTGCAGAATTGGAACCTCTCATACCTAGGTGGTAGTGAACAGGAGATGCTAATTATAAGAATCAGAAGAAGCAGAAAGTCAATTTAGTTCTATCTTCTGGGCAGTTTTATAGTTGTTGCCATACAAAGGGACTAAACAGTTGCTGAAGGAAGAAAGACCCAAAATTTATCAGAAATTTAAACAACAGCAGGGCTTTTACAAAGAAAATGTAAGACCATGTGGAAGTCTTAATGGTAAACACACTTTAGTGATTCTTCCAAATGGTTGCTCCAACTGGCAAATCTCCCACCAACTTAGAAGAATGTCCAACGTAAAAGTTCTGCACTATCAACTGTCCCAGTATTATAGGGTCTAAAGAATACCATCACTTACTGTTCAAATGTACTCACTTCATGATGGTATTTTGTGTTTAAAATACATTTGCCTAGAAGATAATTTATGTAGAATGGTGTGATAATTTTACCATAGCTTTCACATTTCTTCACATTTTGGCTTATAAATAGAAAGAATATTGGAAAAATGTGTTCCTTCCTCTGATGCATTTCCTTAATGGGCGGTGAGTGACCTTCTACTTAATTGGGTTCCATTAGTATATCAATGTTCCAGTGGGATCCTTAACTTAGGAAATGGAATTAAATTATTTTAGTGCATTACATCAAAGACTAGAGAAACTATAGGGGCACCTGGCTGGCTCAGTCAGAAGAGCCAGCAACTCTTGATCTCGGGGTTGTGAATTCAAGCCTCATGTTGGGTGTAGAGATTACAAAAAAAAAATAAAAAATAAAAAAATAAAACAGCAACAAAAAAACCAAAAAACCTTAAAAAACTTTAAAAAAAGGAAAAACTAAATAAAGGTAAATGGCTCATTTCATTCTCCCAACTTTTCCTTTCTTCCTAGTGGACCTCAAGTTTCATGCCACATTGGTCCCTCCTCCTTTCTCAGGTTAGTGCAATGTTGTGTTTTGTTTTAAAGATTTTATTTATTTATTTGACAGAGAGAGACACAGCGAGAGAGGGAACACAAGCAGGGGGAGCGGGAGAGGGAGAAGCAGGCTTCCCGCGGAGCAGAGAGCCCCATGCGGGACTCGATCCCAGGACCCCGAAGGCAGACGCTCAATGACTGAGCTACCCAGGTGCCGCAAGTGCAGTGTTTACACCAAAAGTCAAGGGATGTGTCTGATTTCAGGAGGTCTTTGAGTGGTGTGATGTGTCTCAATAAGGGATCATACGTTCTCTTCATTTACAAAAACTGAGTGGTGTCAGAGACAAAGACAGAGAGCATGACCCACTCCAGTGAATTCATGAGAGGGTATAATATGCAGACTCTGAACATGCAGCCACATCTTATTGGGGAAAATGTCTTGCATCTGGTGAAGTATAAGTGAAAGTGCATCGATATGGCTGGAGATGAAAATTTAGACGGACGGAGGCCACATGAGACCAGAGGCAGGCAAGAAACAGAAGTTGAAAGCATAAGGATGATGGTTGAACTTCTTCTGGACCCTAGGCTGAAGGCAAAGGGGGACTTTGGAAGGGTGGGTGGTAATGCAGTCCCTGTTCTGAACAGTGTGGATGACCATGGGTGAGGGAATGGACAGGAAGTGGGAACCGGCTTAGGAGGCTGTTGTAAAAATCAAGAACAGGGATTAGCTGGGAATTGGTTAAGGTTCCTGGAGTTGGTAGGTAGCAGAGAAAGAAATTATTCAAAGTAAGGAGTCAAAGGGGACCTGGCTGGCTCAGTCAGAAGAACATGTGACTCTTGGTCTTGGTGTTGTGAGTTCAAGTGCCACCTTGGGAGTAGAGTATTACTAAAGAAAATAATAATAAAATTTTTTTTTAATAAAATAAAATATGGGCCCAAGATTCAGAGGACTCCATTCTGCCTTCCATATTGTTGGCTTTGATTGTCAGGCTCCACACAGTAAAAGTGACAGGCCTCCTATCCCAAAACAGATCATCCAGGAGGAGAAAGAGAGCATCTCCTGATCCCTCTCATTGAAGAGAAGGCACCTCAGGTGTCACATTGGCTTGGAATGGGCGACAGACCCATTTCCTGGCCGGCTGGTGTGATTGTCAGGAGGTCCAGAGAGGCAGCTAACTGAAGAAAAATCAAGTTGCAATTGGGTTCAAACCCAACCAGAGATCTTGGTTAAGGATGAGGCAAAGATGATTTCACAAAGGAAACTGAAAGGATTTTATGTAGGTGGTGAGGACGTAGCACCAAGAAAAGGTCTCTACCCTTCCTAGGCCGCAAGCTCTTGAGCAAGAGGTATCTGCTGCCACCTGTTGTCAGAAGGATACAACTGAACCTCATTTGCTAAGGCCCTTCAGAAGCTGCTGCCAGCCCACATCTTGAGTCAGATCTCCATTCTGGCCAGCACGCACTGTGGAGCATGACATCCCTTTCCCCCTCTTTCCCTTTTGGCCTGGTGGCATCTTGTATTTAATACCAGCATCCTGGGACACCTGGGTGGCTCAGATGGTTAAGCGTCTGCCTTCAGCTCGGGTCATGATCCCAGGGTCCTGGGATCGAGCCCCGCATCGGGCTCCCTGCTCCGCGGGAAGCCTGCTTCTCCCTCTCCCACTCCCCCTGCTTGTGTTCCCTCTCTCGCTGTCTGTCTCTGTCAAATATATAAAATCTAAAAAAAAAGATCATGATGACAAATGCAGCTTATTGAATGCCTATCGCATACTAAATATTCAGGGTATGTATATTTGTGTTTTATACCTACCACTCTTTTTTTTTTTAAGATTTTATTTATTTGAGAGAGCAAGAATGAGAGAGAGAGAGAGAGAGAGAGAGAGAGAGCACATGAGAGGGGGGAGGGTCAGAGGGAGAAGCAGACTCCCCGCTGAGCAGGGAGCCCGATGCGGGACTCGATCCCGGGACTCCAGCATCATGACCTGAGCCGAAGGCAGTCGCTCAACCAACTGAGCCACCCAGGCGCCCCTGAGCCACTGTGTTTAGAAGAGAAGTTCTAGAGGCATGAGTTGTACATAGAAAGCAATTACCTTTTTGGGTGCCTGGGTGGCTGAGTCAGTTAAGTGTGTGACTCTTGATCTCAGTGCAGCTCTTAACTCAGGGTCATCAGTTCAAGCCCCATTTTGGGCTCCATGCTGGGCCTGGAGCCGACTCAAAAAAAAAAAAAAAAGAAAAAGAAAAAGAAAAAAAGAAATGTCTTTAAGCTGGGCATAGTTCCTGAACCCCGTAAGTGAGCTATCCCTTTCTGAGTCTGCAACTCTTTCTTCTGCCCAGGCGTGGCCTTTATGAAGGAGTACCGCCGGCAGCTGCAAGCCAGGCTGGGGGACCTGAATGGAGTACTGGATGATCTTCAGGACAGTGAGGTCTTCACTGAGGAAGAGAAGGAGCTGGTGCAGCGGTTGCCAACACAGCGGAGGAGGAATGAAGCCTTGCTGACGATGGTGGAGAAGAAAGGGCCCCAGGCCCTGGAGATACTCTTCAGGAGCCTTAATCAAAGAGACCCTTACCTGATGTCCTACCTCAGCCGGCAGAGTTTACAATGACTCAGGCTGGTACTCAGGTAGAGAGAATCCAGTGTTCGCCATTGAAAATGGATAAATGGGTGCTTGGGTGGCTCAGGAGCTTAAGCATCTGACTCTCGATTTCAACTCAGCTTGTGATCTCAGGGTCGTGATGAGACTGAGCCGCGCGTTTGGCTCTACATTAAGCAGGGAGTCTGCCTGAGGTCCTCTCCCTCTGCCCCTCCTCCCACTCCTCTCACTCTCTCTCTCAAATAAGTAAATGAAATAAATCTTTTTTTTTTTTAAAGAAGGAAAATGGATAAGCAGACGTGTGATCATTGAGTTCAGTGTCCAAGACAAAAAAGGTCCAGGTAACACCTACCCACCACACAGGTTTTTTTGAGGACTGATGATAACTTGGCAGATACCTATTACTGTATCCTAATACCTTAACCTTGAGAATATCTGAAGAGAGTAGGAATATTCACACTAAATGTTTTTTAAGCCAGGTTAAAAAAAATTCCTATTTCATCCATTGGCACATTGCTTGGAAATCTGGGCAGAGGAAGGCAAGGGCAGGTGTGTTTATGATTGACAGGGCCCAGGGAGACCAGTTCTCCTGAGTCATGTGAGAAGCAATTCCAGTGAACATTACCTCCGCTGTGTCCCTTGCTCCGAACAGAAGCCAGGAAGGCTTACAAAAACTCTCTGTTGAGGACATTCATGACATTCACAAGCTTTAATTTTTTTTTTTAATATGCTATGTCTTTAACATTTTATCTATTGCTATTTATACTAGAATGATGAAGTCCCTTGACGGAATAGCGCTCAGGAGTGGGAGCAAATGCAAATGTTGGCAGAAAACCTTTTGCCTCTGGTATATAGGCTGGTACCAGGAATGGGCACATCCAACTTCATGGAGCAGCTCCATGGAACCCAGGGGAGGAATACGGATTAATGGTATCCACAGAAGCAGCAAGGGGGGAAAGGAGGAGCATCCAGCTTATTCTGAGAGAGGCCCTCCTGGCTAGGTATGTCACGAAAATAAGCAGAGCCTGACATTTGGGTTTTGCCATTGAACCCTGCCATTTTATATCCGTCCCAGCTTATTTTGGACCAGTGTTTGCATGACATAACTAATGCTATCCTTTCACTTTGAACCCAGTTATTTCCTTATATTTGAAGCGAGTTCATGGGAGACAGCATATAGTTGGGTCAGTTTGTTTTTGTTTTTTTTAACCCATTTTGACAATCTCTGCTTTTTAAAGGGTGTGTTCAGCCATTTACATTTAACATAATTCTGGCAATGTTAAGAGTTAGCCTAGGTCTGCCATTTTAGTATTTGTTTTCTGTTTATTCCCTTTGTGCTGCATGCCTATCTGTCCTTTCTTGGCTTTTTTAGGGCTTATGGGGAGAGTTTTTAGTATTCCACCTCAATTTGTCTGTTGTTTTTGACAATTGTGGTTGTGTATTTTTTAGTGATTGCGCTAGAGATGAAAAGATACATCCTGAATGCATCAGTCCTAGTATCCATACTGTGCTAATTACAGTGGAATCTAGAAACCTTAGCACCATTTTGGCCATGGTACCTTTTATGACCCAGTTGTTTTCAATATTCCCTCTCTATATAATAAGGTCCCAATCGGAAGAATGTTATATATGTTTTTTCCTTTCTATTTATTTATTTATTTATTTTAGAGAGAGATACGGAGAGAGCATGAGTGGGAGGAGGGGCAGAGGGACAGAGAAAGAGAGAGAGAGAGAGAGTCTCAGGCAGACTCTGTGCTGAGCACAGAACCTGAGGCAGGTCTCCATCTCTCGACTCTCAATTCATGACCTGAGCTGACATCAAGAGTCAGATGCCTAATCGACTGAGCCAAATGATGCCCCTGTTTTTTACTTTCAATTGCTGAGTATTTTTTTTTTAAGAATAGATTTTTTAAAAATATTTATTTATTTGAGAGAGCAAGAATGAGAGAGAGAGAGAGAGAGAGAGAGCACATGAGAGGGGGGAGGGTCAGAGGGCGAAGCAGACTCCCCGCTGAGCAAGGAGTCCGATGCGGGACTCGATCCCGGGACGCCAGGACCATGACCTGAGCCGAAGGCAGTCGCTTAACCAACTGAGCCACCCAGGCGCCCTGAGTATGTTTTTAAAATGAGGAGTATAATCTATGACATATGCCCAGATATTTACCATTTATGTTGCACTTCTCTTGTAATCCTGATATTCTAAATTTCATTGAACTTCTTTTGGCGATTCTTTTTTTTTTTTAAGCTTAGTTTTTTTAGTGATCTCTACACCCAACATGCGGTTCAAACTCATGACCCTGAAGTCAAGACTTGCAGACTCTACAGACTGAGCCGACCAGGCACCCCAGCAATTCTTTTAAAGCAGATCTCCTGACTATGGATTCACTTACTTTCCCTTCATCTAGAGATGTCTTTATATTACTTTCATTCCTGAAAGATATTTTTCTGGGCATAATGGCAGTTCTTTTTTTCAGCCATTTATTTCTGGTTTTCATGGTTCCTAATGAGAAATCTGCAGTCATTCAGATTGCTTCCCTATATAGAACGTATCATTTTTCTCTGGCTATTTTCTTTTTCTTTTTTTTTTAAAAGATTTTATTTATTTATTTGAGAGAGACAGGCAGATAGTGAGAGAGAGAGCAAGAGAGAGCACAAGTGGGGAGGAGAGGGAGAAGCAGACTCCCCACTTAGCAGGGAGCCTGACATGGGGCTCGATCCCAGGACCCTGGGATCATGACCTGCACCGAAGGCAGACGCCTAACCGACTGAGCCACCCAGGCGCCCCTCTCTGGCTATTTTCAAGATTTGTTTTCTTTGTCTTTAGTTTTCAGCACTTAGATTATGATAGATCTGCGTATGGATTTCTTTGGGTTTTTCCTATTTGGAATTCACTCAATTTTTAAATTTGTAGGTTTATGTTTTCTCACCAAGCTTGAAAATTTACAAATATTATTTCTTTAAAGATATATATTAAATATATGTGTGTGTGTGTGTCTGGTTATATATCTATATCTATATCATCTATCTATCTATCTATCTATCTATCTATCTATCTATCTTAAAGGAGGCTCCATGCCCAGTGTGGAACCCAACATGGGTCTTGGCTTGAACTCATGACCCTGAGATCAAGACCTGAGCCAAAATCAAGAGTCAGATGCTTAACATACTGAGCTACTCAGGCACTCCTTAATATATTTTTTTCAACCCTGCATTTCTTTCTCCTCTCCTTCTGGGACTCTGATGGTATGAATGTTAGATTTTTGTTGTTGTCCCATAGTTCTCTGAGACTTAATTGTTTTCCTATTATTTCCTCTCCTTGTTGTTTTGATTGCATAGCACTTACTGATTTATTTTTTTTTAAGATTTCATTTATCCACTTATTTATTTAGAGAGAGGAAGAGAGCAAGCACAAGCAGGGGGAGGGGTAGAGGGAGAAGGAAAGAGAGAATCTCAAGCAGACTCCATGCTGAGTGTGGAGCCTGACACAGGACTGGATCCCAGGACCCTGAGATCATGACTTGAGTCAAAATCAAGAGTCAGACGCTTAACCAACTGAGCCACCTAGGTGCTCCTTTCTTTTGCTAGTAATTTTCTTGCCCTGGCCTCCTTCTGCCCACGAAACCTTCCATTTTTGTACCACACCCCTGAGCCCCTGTCTCTTTACAAGAAGGGTTGCTGCCTGATTCATGAATCATTGATTAAAACCATTTAGTTGAATTTTCGTTCTTGAAGGAGGTTGCTTACATGTCTTGGTTACTGTGAATAATGTGTCAATGAACGTGGGGCTCAGGTAGCTCTTTGAGAGGCTGATTTCATTTCCTTCAGATATATACACACAAGTGGGGCTGCTGGGTCATACGGTAGTCCTATTTCTGATATTCTGAGGGAGCTCCATACCATGGATTTACTTTCCCTCCAACAATGCACGAGCGTTTCCTTTTCCCCACATCTTCATCAACACTTGTTATTGTTTGTCTTTTTGATAAAAGCCATTCTAACAGTTATAAGGTTATATTTTGTTGTGGTTTTTATTTACATTTCTTTGATTTAGGGTAAGCCCTTGACAGGTGGCTTTTCTTTTGATAATGCAAGTGCCAGACTTAAGCTTTGCTTGCCAAGGCATCCGTGTCCAAGACAAAACACAGTCATCTCAGTAAATACATTGCCAGGGGCGCCTGGGTGGCTCAGTCGGTTAAGCGTCTGTCTTCGGCTCGGGTCATGATCCCAGGGTCCTGGAATTGAGCCCCGCATCGGGCTCACTACTGAGCCGGGAGCCTGCTTCTCCCTCTGCCTCTGCTCCCCGCCCTGCTTGTGCTCTCTCTCTCTCCTTCGTTCTCTCTTTCAAATAAATAAATAAAACCTTAAAAAAAAAGAAAATACACTGCCAGCCACACAAGTAGATAAAGAGCCAGGCCGCCCCCAGCTTCTAGGTTCCATGCTCCAGGGTTCTCTGTTCTAGAGATCTTGGTTGATTTCAATAACTGGCCATTTGGGCAACTTTTCTTTTATATTCCCATGCTTTAAATTCCTGCTCTTATATTTACTTATTCATTCATTCATTCATTCATTTTAGTAATCTCCACACCCAATGTGGGGCTCAAACTCACAACCCAGAGATCAAGAGTCGCATGCTCTTCCAACTGAACCAGCCAGGTGTGCCCGTTTTTATGTTTTATTTATTTATTAAGATTCTATTTATTTACTTGACACAGAGAGAGAGAGAGAGAGAGAGTGAGCACAAGCAGGGGCAGCGGCAGGCAGAGGGAGAGGGAAAAGCAGGCTCCCCACTGAGCAAGGAGCCTGACAGGAGACTCGATCTCAGGACCCCGGGATCATGACCCGAGCCGAAGGCAGACGCTTAACCGACTGAGCCACCCAGACGCCCCTGCTTTTATTGTTTTAAATTCACAATAAAAAGTGAGCCTGCAAAAGCCTTAGGCCCCCACCCTCCTCACCAATAAAAGCAGAACACCAGGCCTGGTATGCTCTCTCTCTCTCTCTCTACCTACAACCTTGCTGTGTAGCCCCATGTATGCCATATAATTTCCAGGTCTTATAAGTAATAGACTTTTTCCTTTTCAAAAAATTTTTTACTAAGTTTTTAATTTTAATTCCAGTATAGTTAAAATACAGTGTTCTATTAGTTTCAGGTGTATAATACAGCAATGCAACAATTCTATACATTATTCAGTGCTCATCATGATCAGTGTACTCTTTTTTTTTTTTTAAG